GAAAAATTCAGTGAGTTAGTAGAACTGTATGCAAGGAATCCATATTCCAGAAGTGCCCAGCCTTGCACCTTGACATTAAAATGGCCCCATCAACTTGCAACGTCATCCACTTCCAGAAAGGAGTAAGAAGTAGTTTAAAGTATGGCAGCTGCCCCCTGAATCCTCCTGACAAGTGCTGTGGTTCTCTTCACTGATGTGTGACAACTTCAGGAAACTAAAGCCAAATCCTGCAAACCCCTGCTCACCTGAGGAGTCCTATGAATGTCAGTGAAAGACCCATCAACTTAATCCTTCAAACATACAAAGGGGAGCTTTACTCATGTAGTTAATCTGGCTGTCTACTGCTTAAGCATGTAGGACCAGGTCCAAACTGTGGAACTGATGGTAAAATAACATGCTTGCCAAAATACAGAGACAGTAATCTCAGTTCACCCTCCCAATTATTTTATTAACCTTAAGGTGATGCTGCAGTGACAGTAAAAACAAAACACTGACAGATGTCACCCTTCACTCAGTCATGTGCTTTTAAAACTACCTCAGTGTGGAAAAAGACAGGCAGATTAGTCCCTGCAGCAACAAAGAGAATACAAAGTAAAAAAGGTCTGTCAGTTAAAAGGGAGACGACCTTTACCAAGCAAAAGTTTCAAATCTTGGTTGGCTACTGGACTGGCTAATGCAGGAGAGCACAGGAGAGATGAATGGTGAAGGGGTCTGCAAGTAAAATCTGATCAGCTGACACAGCCAACCTGCATATCATGCGCAATGTGGTTCTTTTGAGAAGTACCTGTTTGTCACTCTCTTTCCCTTCTTCACAGTCAGCTGTCTCTGCTTCGGCTATGACATTAAGCTGATCCGGCGCAGATTCATTAAGGAACCACAAATCATCAGTAGTATCTGAAACAATGGCAGTGTCTATGTCCTGGCAGAGAGGAGATGGGAGAAAATACTTATGCATCGGCATATTGGCGACTGGGGAGGATTAAGCTTGCTAGACCCTGGTGTCTGAGTGACTGCAGCTGCAGCCATAACTTATGCTCTCCCCTTCTCTTAAAACAGACTCCTCCCCACTTAAAAGCTCCTTCCGTTCCAGTGAAGTACAATTCAATAGACCAGGCTGGAAAAGAGAGACCTATTTTTTCCAAAGCATCTCTTTTTCTGACAGGTTCCACAATTCAGTCTTCTTGTTAATGGTTCTCACAAAGGCTACCATCACACTACATTCATCTTATCCTGAAAAATTCCAATGAACTTCATAAACTATGCACGTGGCACCACAGAAATACAACCAATCACTGCTCTGGCATGGAGAAGGACACCCACTTAAAAAATGGGATAGTCTGTCCAGAAACATGAAGCTTTACCCACAAAAAAAGAGACTTTTGATAGGGAAAACTGGATACAGCGCTTAAGTCTTGAATGGAAGCCAGAGCAGTATTTCATTGGCACACAAAAGAAGAGAAAAAGAAAAAAAATCAAGTGTTTCAAATGTCTGCATACCTGGTTATTCTGTATGTCTGTTGATCCACTACTTCTGGCCCCATAGTTGTTTTTTAGATTGCCTATAAACCACCATGGAAGACCAGCTACATCCCATTCCTCCAAGGCCAAGTCAGGTTTAGGGCTTCTACTTTTTAAGTTGCTTTCTAGTAAGTCTTTTTCTGCAGAACCAAGTGAAACCTAGGTCATGACATGTCTCTAACTTGAAGAGAAACCAGTCCCAAAGTTTAACACGCTGTGTATTATTTAAACACTTACATCTATACTGTTCTGCTCAAGTTATGTTAACGAACCCTTGTGTATGCTTGTCGCAGAAAGAAAGCAAAATACTGTACTGTTGGACTTTCATGTTATTTTGCAAAGCAGTTGATGAGTGTTGTTTAAAAGTTGCCACACAAACGCAGAATACAGCAGACACCCCAATGCCTCCCCAATGTCACTGACAGTTTTTGCCATTCCCTTGACTCCAGTACTGCATGCCATGACTCAATCTAATGCTCCTCTAAGGGCCAGGTTTAATTTTGCCTGGCCCTAGCACACTCGTATACTTTGGCTCCCTTTTCACGTCAACAGCTCCGAAGACACAGACAAGGGGGCCCTACCTGCCATGCCTATGTGATCTGAAAAATATATGTCTATCCACATCTGATGTGACAACTATTTGGGCCTGCAAGGAAGTGCCAGTTTTAACAATCTGACTCATCTATATCAAGACAGAAAAATATGGGAAAACCTCCAAAACACATAACTTGTACGTGACTGACTTATCTTTCAACGTTGCTGGGGATTTCTTGCTAAAAAATGTCTAGCTACAAAGGAGATGGACAAAAAAGTAGAACTGAACTTAAGAAAAGAGCTGTTGGTTTGTGGGCAATGAGTGAAGACAGCTCAGTCTGTATTTTATGTAATCAAAGGACAAAGTACCCTAGAAGGATAAACTGATACAAGAATAATTTTGGTATTTCAAATATCCTTCAGGAAGGTCTGTAAGATTTTTGGTGGCATTGCTGAATGACAGATGTGCTGTTTGGGCTTACCCTGTCATTGCATCCAAGTGTTTGTTTATTTATGAGGCCAAGTATCCAAGCTAGAAAGCCTGTATATCATAAAGTACCTTTGGCAGATATTTATGGTCCTCTAAATCCTTGCCATAAAATCATGACTTCGGAAGATTATTTTCCACAATAGGATTTTTATTAGTCTCCCAGCATCCTTGTCTGATTGTTTCGTGCCAGGCAGGGCCCCAAGTGTCATGAATGCCCAGGTGGATTTGTTTGCCCCCACAACTTTTACTCACCTTCACAATTGCCAGATTTGTGCTCTGAGGTAGACAAAGCAGGAGCATTGCTTTCACCCTCTGTTCTCCCAACGTCAGAAACTCCCTCTGTGCTGCTCTGCTTGAAGAAAAGGAAACGAGAGCCATTAGCCCAATCAGAGCTGATAGGGACAAGGGGATGTAGCACTTCCACTCTGAGTCACCAGCTGCAGTGCAACACTGAGGAGTTACACAATGAAATAAAGGTTTACTGAACACATACCACACACTATTAACCACTCAAGAAAGCTGCTATGGATCTGTTGTTATCAGCACACGTGACTTACTTTCAACCCAGGAAAAATCTTCAGGTTGGCAACAGTTCCAAAAAGTTGCCATCTTAACACTGTAATACTGTGAACCTTGTCACCCCCCACTCCCCCCCCCGGCTCCAAAATGTATAGTCACCTTGACGATCGGATTGTGTTAATCCCAATGTACATGTCTGAAATACTGCCACAAGATTTTTCCCAGGTTTCCAGATTCTGCCTGAAAGCTTCTGAAAATGATCCTAAGCAAAACCAGTTTAATCTTTTAGGAAGGTCAATTTTTTTGCTAACTCCATTGTACACGAAGGGAAAGGGGATTAAAAAAAATACCACACAAAAAGACAGTGCAAGCTGGTGAGACTGAGGACAAGAAGTGCTACACCCCAGAGAAACGCGCTCAGAGAATGGAACTCTGTAATGAAGAGAACAGAGAAGGGTCACTCTGTCCCTGGTCCGTGGACTCCCAAGAACTTTTTAGGAAGGTGAAGACCTGCCAGCCAAGCCGCAAAAAAGTTCTGGCAGTCCACTACGCACAGGTACAGAGAAGGGGCACTCTGTACAACAAAAGAAACCACCAGGCAGTGGGTTTACCTTCGGCTGGTCTCGGCTTGCGTTATCGATGCTCTGATCCTTTGCGTGAACAAGAGTCTGTGCAGCATCTAGATGGCAGGTAAAACAAAAGAAAACACCTTCCCTGGTAATAGCCATTCTCACAACACAGAAGGCCCTCAGCACACAACCAACGAGCCAGGCTTGGCAGACAGGCCTGTGCTACTTTAAGGAGAAACCAGAATCCTTTCTTCTTTAGGGAGCTGGCCAGTTCCCGATGGCTCATACAGGCAGACAAGGGTTGTTTCCTTGGTTTTGGTATAGATGCAAGAGGCAAGGTCCTGCAGAGTAAGTAAGCAGGGTCTGTGGCCACCGAGAGACAAGGCTTGATGGAATCTCACTGTGGGGCAGAAACCTGGCTCTTCCCAATGCCAAAAACTATCCCTCCAGCTCCCACTGCAGGTTTGCTTCACTCCTTACACAGGAAGCCTGCTTGAGGATAGGAAGCTCAGAGCAGCAGCAGAAGTGGTGCACACTGAACTGGAACCAAGAGCAGTTCCCTGTTGAAGGCTAAGGCAACAGAGGAGAGAGTGGGATTCCTTAAGTGCTCTTTTAGTGGCCCAAGAGACACTGAAGAAATGTCATTTTGAAGAGGGAAGAACAGAAACTAGACTGAAGCGGGAAGAACACTGTAGAGGGAGGTGTCTCCATAGGCGTTCTGAATCGGTGTCTCTTCTATACAATTTACTGCAGACAAGTACACTATACATAAAGGTTAGGAAAGTCCCATCTAAGTAGCTAGAGCAACCAGCTTAACAAAAGCTGATCCTGCCTAACCACGGAGACAGATTTTAGAAGAGACTGCACTCTGTGCAGAAAGGCTTGTAATAGAAACAAGAACATGAAGTGTTCCTGCCCTCTTTTCATCTCAGTAGAAAACTCTCCCCCTGCTTTCTATGAGCGCAGGCATGGAGTTTTACGCCCGGTACACTTCACAGCACAAAGAAGAAATGAACTATAGCTGTAGCGTGAAAAGTGGCTGGAATGTGACCTTGCTGGGTTCCACATTCTTTTCTACTCGGGTCCACATTGAACACGTTCAGTTTAAAACTAACTGTGCTTTTTTTTTTTTTTTTTATAACTCAACAAAGCAAATTTGAAAAATCCAGCTATTTCTTCTTCTGCCTTTTCCATCCTCTGTACTAGTAAATATTCTGCAGCCACTGATTAGCTTACACCTGAAGGAAAAGAGAATCTGTCTAGCTCATCTTTAATTGCTTTGGCTCTCCGCTGGCAAAGCGGAGGAGAAAAGGGGCTTTATGATTAAGATATACCCCCTGTCTTTTAACATTATATAAATAGCATGCACTATTCTTGGAATAAGTAAAAATACACCTGTCATATTGGATTTTTTTTCTGAGTATAAAATGAAAAAAAAAAAAAAGAACATAACATTTTTCAAGAAAGAAATGTACTCCTAAAGAGATGCTGTGTGACTCATCCGTGTTGTGAACAGTTGGGCAAGGACAGCACCTGATAAAAAACACTATGTATGAGCCAGGCATTATTACTACGATGTGTTCTTGTTACAGACACTTTCGTTTCTAGGAGCGCGTGTACTATAAAGAAGAAGTGACCAGAATGCCTTGCGAAGGGATATGTTGGTAAGTAGGACTGTGGCCACTGAATATTGCTGTTGCTAAACCTCAAGCATGACAAGTTGTTGAGCACTACAGGATTTATAGTTACCCCCCACATGGAAGGAAAAAAAAAATCCACAGCCACTTTTCTTGAACATGTTTCAATTTAACATTAATTGGAGGTACATCTTCAGAACCTGGTCTGCCAAGCTTGTTTCGTTTTGTAGTCATATGCACGTACACACACACACACACACACACACACACACACACACACACACACACACGCTCAACACTGGTATAACCCATTGATCCAACTCACTAAAGGAATAGTATTTCCTTTGGCAGGTTTAAAAATAGTTACACCATGTCTGTCACACACACGAGCACACAGATGTACACCACATACTCACACCACAAGTAGAGGAAAGGAAAGTAACGGACGAGAGGCTGTCCTTGAGGTCCTTTGTTTTCCACATATGCTGCTCATGGGTAAGTCAGGGAACTGCCAACAGATGTTAGCATTCACACAGTCATTTTGTAGGAACAGGAAGGCATAAGACAAGAAAGGGCTCAAGCAGGTTCTCCATTACAAATGGGAAAGGGTGATCTTTGGAAGCACTGAACAATGCCAAATCCTGCTAAGAGCAGAGAACTTGGCAGTGTGGGACCATATGTTCTGAAACGCCCTCTGACTTTGCAAACATTACTACTGGCTTAAGCAAAGTTAGACTAGGATCTTCTAAAAAGTGTGCCCTTGTTAGCTGCTGAGTGCCTTGAGGAAGCATCATGTAACCTCACAACTCTACCACCACCCTGTACCCACACTTGTTGCAGCGCAAGTTTTCTTTTAAGTGGAGACTAACAGTTACATAAACTGAGCAGGCTTTCAGGAAGTCAGCAGCAGAGATTAGATTAGAAATGAGATTTGTTTCAATTTGAGATCTTTTGATGTAGAGGGATTTCACAGCCTTCCTCAGGGGGCAACAAAGAGGGACTTCCAAAAGTTTCAGAGGTTAGATTACATGTGAATGATTAGTCTTTGAATGGCAGAACTGGGCTGGATACTCAGGGAAAAGTTTATCAGGCATTTTCTATACTTGGTCCTAGCTAAGAACATAAAAGCACAGAACCAAGTGAGACTGGGGAAATCACTCAGATACAAAAAAATCCAGGAAGATTATGAATCTAAGAAGATAATGAACAGATGGGGAAAGGTTTCAACAGGGTATTTTTAGCCAAACCAGCTCACATACAACGAGAATGTAATCCTGTCCAAGTTGTGCCTCTACATACATTCTGTCACCTATCCTACTCTAAGGTACAGCCACAGCCACACGCAGGTGTATCAGGCAAAGAGATAATTGATTTCAAACCACTGCTAGTTTGCCAGCGCACACAACTTGACACGTTTTCAAAAGACTATGACACCTTGAAGCCTTCAACAAGAGTTTATTTAAACTTCAGAAATGCATTTTCCTGGATATTGTTACTTACCCAAATCAAATTAACACTGTACTGAATATATTTGGTCATACTGTGAGACACCTACCTGTAACAGTAGCCGAAAGCAGGTTCCTTCTCAACATGTCATAAACTGGGCTGCAGGAAAAAAGACGACCAATAAATGAGATTGCAGGGATAAATAAAACAAAACAGCCTTGCTCCTTTTAATATGAGCAGCCAGAATTCCAGGCACTAGCTAACTGTTCCCATTTAGGAGAAATCAGTGATGGAGTCAAATATCCATCACTTGCATCCTGATGGATCACAAAGTTTCTGTTTCTTTCCACAATGAAGGAATCAAAGAGTAGACAGTCTCCTTGCTCACAGTCAGTACCCTACCCCAATAAATCATCTCACTGCTCCCATTCCTTCCCTGACCTGTTTCTTCAGGGTAATATTGCCAGGGCTTGTGTTCCCAAATTACCTGATGCCTCATAAAGACTTCTGTATTTCCCCTTTGTGAAAGCCTGAAAGCTTGCAATTGTGAAGCAACAAAAGCCCTCATCTCTACCACCCAGAAATGTGGTCTCCACAGTGACCCGAAAAACTGATCGGGAAATCACAGAACCTAAGTATCGCAGCAGCCAGTCCACTGCCTCAACAGTGCAGCGGGGAAATTGTGTTAAGGCACTGCCTTAACACAGATGAAATCAAGATCAAGTCTGACCAGTGGAATTCCAGAGCACTGGTGAACCCATTGGACCAGTGATCTAGAGATCTTCACAGAGATCTCATCTACACCGAAAATAGGAACAATACACTTGGGAGACCTGCCAAAACAATCTCTTTAATACAGATGCGCCATCCCTCCCTTTAAGGCCTGCACAGCAACATCCCATCCCTTCCTACCGTGGATTTGTGACTGAAAAGCTGTCCAGTCCCATCAGTTCTCTCAGCGGATCCCCTCCACAGTGCACTATGTGTTGTTCTTGCTTGTCGTATAGCTCCCTCACCATGATATACTGTCCTAGGTAATGCATGACCTGTCGATACATAAGATAATATTAGTTGCATCTGCAGCTGATGCTAAGCCAGCAAAGACTCTAGGGTTTGTTTTGGTAATGTTTGCAACAGAGGCACGATCAAATACCCCTTTACTGACCTTATAACATTTTCCTAGTGTTTTCAACCCATACTCTCAACCACCATCAGGGAATGCATCTTGTGGCAGCTTTGCAAAGCGCTTAGATGTTAATGCTTTTACAGGTGGGGAAACTGAGACAGAGGGGTCAAGTGCTTTGCCTGCAGCATTACAGATAGTCAGCAGCAAAGCCAGTACTAGAGCCCTGGTTTCCCAACTCCCAGTCCAGGTCCTGCTCTTCCAGATCCTTGATCACTATGGTCATTTTCCAAGCATGCTTTGAAAACATTTTGTCAGGCCTATGCTTAAAGATCACATATCACTTCTCTTGTACCCTTGAGACCCCTGGAACGAGTGTACCCAGAGTTCCCAAAATGAGATGCTGTTTCATTGTTGAAAGGGAAGTTTGTTCTGCTCTGGCATTAAACCAAACTACTAGGTTGCATGCAGCCCATCCAAAAACAGAAAATGGAATTGTGGCCAATTTACAATAATTCCAAGTCCTGCAGTTAATTAAATGGAAAGATTTTAACTAACTGATACTCTTTCATTAATTCCAGTCACTTAGGAGGTCAGCAAATAAAACAGAACTCTCTTTGCTGTCTGAGATTACAACAGGGAACAGGACAAGGTTGAAATTATTTACAATCTATACACAGGCCCCTTTCTCAGTCAAATGGAAGCCAGCTGGCTGAATCAGTCTGTTGAGGTACTACACAGTAACCCAAAATCTACTCAGAATAACCCTGGTTTTGACTCCTGGTAGTTTGAGGCAATGCAGCAGGCCCGAAGCAGAGTCTGTTGGTACCACTCTGCAAGTAACCAAGTGAAAGAGGGAAGGCAATCTGGTGAACAAAGGACGCAGGGCAGGAAGCACTACTTATCAGTGAGGATGAGCTCAGCCATGCTCTTGGGCCTGATGAGGACACACTTTGCTTGGCAAATGCAAGAATAAAGAGAATAAATGCAGGATAACTTGCACTGGAAACATGGAGAAGTGCAGAAAGGAAACAATGTTCCTTAAGGGCTAAGGCCATAGAACAACGATCATATCGAGATGAACCAAAGTGAGAAGCGCTGAGGATAAGATAGTCAAGTGTGTATGTGCCATGCAGGCAGGATTCCTTCCACAATTAGCAGAAAAATGGATGCTCTTGAACAAAGATATATACAACCTAAAAAGTTGCCAACAGCGCTTCTGTTCACTGGAAAAAGACTGACTAAACTGTGTTAAAATGTTAATCCGCAGAAGTAGATTCCATTTAACACTGAACCCCCTTCCATTTGAACCATCCAATTTGTTTTTGCAAAAATTTTAGAAGCTAAATAAGTTATTTAAATGCATAACTGTTTAAACTAAGTCACGCGGCTCTGCAGGGGTATCTGACACATTCATAATGAAAAACCACTGCATTTAATTCTTTGCAGACAGGACACCCCTGTAAATCACAGCCGGTGTCATTTTTTTAATCTTGTACACATTTTGCATTTTAATCTTAAAATAAATGAATTCAGAGCCTCTCGGGTTTAGCTGACAAGTCATTTCAAAGAAAACTTAAGAGAAAAATATCAAATGGAGTACAATTTAAAAAAAAAACCTTCCGAGTGTGGCAGAGACAGCAAGACAATCACAAAGTGTCTTCTACAATCTTGCAGGTATGCAACTGTCTATTAGATCTTTCCTCTCTCTCAAGTGGTTGTTGAATTCCCCAAATAAATGATTTCCATTTATATTTTGCACTCCTATAGCAATTCCAGCAGACGCTCTCTCAAAGCAATTTATGATCAATCAAGTCTCAACATCCCTGCATGTAAGGTTGCCCATTTCACAGGTGGGGCACTGAAGCGCAGAGAGATCCAAGGCCCAATTCTGCATCCCCGGGAGCTGGGAGGCCTGGAAATCATTCTTGGGAAATAATCTCCCCCCGTGAGTCTAAGTCCACAAGGAACCCCAATGATTTGAATGGAGGCTACACTCCAAAGGATCAACTTAAAAGATCAAGGATTAAGTGATGCATGGCCTGGCCATGCATCACTGACCAAACTGGTCAGAAAAGCTACCTTTGCCACCTCCTAAACCCAAATATTTTAGTGACTAGAACAGTTTACACACAAACAGCTCCAAAATTCCCTGTAGCATGATAGAGATCAGGCTATCTGTTTCTGTTTGTGCAGCACCTAAAACAATGGAGCTGGTAATTCAAAGAGCGGCAAAATGATTTTCCACCTTTCAAGTTTCTGAATTTAAAATCACACAGTGGTACTTTGATCATCTCCCAAGGGAGCACTCCAGCTCCTTCTTTAAATTTAACCAGAAAATGGGAATCATGGGCTCACCTCTTTCAATGTGAAGGTTTCACCTTGTGCACCTGCAGCTTGCAGAATCCTCAAGAAGGGCAGTCTTGGTCGTACCTAGGATGCAGAACGCACAGTTTGGAGTGAGCGCTATGGTGTGGTGAGCTTCCAAGAAGACACAAGCATTTGTGAGATTCATGCATGGCCCCCAACTGCATAGCTAATAAATGCCTCTGAGGGTGCCTCGTACCAGGGTGTCACATTTAATCAGTAGAGCAAAACGAGACAAGTGGCTCTGCAATCTGAGTTGCCAGCCAAGGGGAACATTGCTGGCCTTTCAATACCTTCCTGATGGCACGTTCACATTTCTCTAGAATCAATTTGCATTTGATGAATGCCTAAAGAGAAGCTAAAGCCTGCCTATACCCCCAAACCTATCTATGAGCTCCACGCACGTAGACCCCTGTTCAGATGGTTCCACAGCAAACAACACGGGGCCATCCCAGCACATCTCATTGCAGGACTGCAGACTCAGTCAGGATGCTTCACTAGTTAGAAGAGCTGAACTCAGTCTGTACAGCTGCTTTACCATTCTAACTCTGGCACAAACTAAGCACAGCCACCAAACTAGGAAACCCAAACTTAAGAGCCCTTAATCATCTATATTGCTCATTAACTTTAATAGAATTATTCATGTGAGCAAGGACTACAGAATTAGACCCTTGGTGAGGGGAATCCTATATGGTGAATAACTCCACACGTTAGTTGTAAGGTCTCAAGTGATAATGGAGTGGCTATGTCATTAACTTCAATTATGCCAAGTCTGAATCTGGGTCACTGAATGGAATGAGTAGATGGAGTCCAACAGACCAAGCTGGTGCTTGGCTACAGCAATTTGTGAATGGAGACAGTATCACAAGAATGCAGCATATCACTGTTCTTCTGTAAGTAACTGCTGCTAAGGGTCTGATCCTGTAATCTTTGCAGCTGCTGAACTCCTACAGGCTATAATGCATCATGGGCACACACGAGAAGGCAGAACACAATAATTCCAGTCTTACTCACTCTGCACACAAAATCAATGGTCAAAAGCTGTTAAGATAGTTAATGCTACACAAGAGCAGCAGACGGTTCTAAAATAGCCCTGATACCACTTCAGCTAACATACATGCACCGCAGAAAAGTAACGAACAATCCCAGGCAGAAGTGCTGCTGTGCAAATCAATGTCCTTTCTCCATAAAAATGTCAAGATGCCCCAGTCTTATTATGCTCGGGCTGGAAGCTGAATGTTACGGTGCTTTATTAGTATAACAAATATATGCTGCACTAAACCTTTCCCCTGGATCTCCTCCTGCATCCTTGAGAACTTAATACCAGGAAGCCAGAGGTGATAGATTTAAATGAGGCGTTATGTGAGGGCTAGATACAAGGGCACCGTGGCATTTTTCTCAATGCATATTGATCGACTCCAGGGTTAATTCCTGAACTTGGACACACACAACGCATCGCTGAATCTCAGATCAAAAAATCATTGGTGTAGAGGAAGGCAGTGCTATCTGCAGGCATACCCTGGCTCTTAGCATGCAAGGTCTGCCAGAGCTTCCTCACCACTCATTAACAAAATCCCAATTAGGGCTACAATGATGCTACAAGTTTCAGTTTCATAGAAGGCTTATAAGAAGCTGAGGCTAATTTTAGCTGTCACTTCTGCAGTAGTTCATAAGACATGAAAAGGTCTGAAAAAGACAGGCAAGATGCACCTTTTCCAGCTTGGCTTGTTTCTTCTCTTAGAAGCAAGCTGGAAGCATTGATTCTGTCAGGCTGGTATTAATGTTGAAAGAAAGTTAAGGATTCATATGAGAAGAGAACCAATGGCTCAGCTACATCCTCATGAGGCTAGCAGCATCATGCTTCCCAGCTGGAAGTAACAGGGTAGGATACAGATTGGTTGCACTTGTTACACACACATGCTCTGTTTCATATTAGGGTTGGGCAAGAGATCACTCATTGATCTTAAAGACATCCATCAGCAAGATACTTCAACTGACCATGAGGCAAGAAACATTTCCCCTGTCCATTTATATAATGCTCCTTGCTGTTGCTCTAGTGTTTATCAAGAACACGCATCTAAGTTCCCTTCCTGCTAAAAATGGCCCTTGACGGCTTCCCTCAAATACTAAGTTAACTCAGCTGTACCAGAGCAATCTTAATTTATAAATGTAATTGCAAGAGGCCTCTCCTTCCCTAGAAGGTGGGGCTACCCAGAATCCCAAGCCTCACTAAACCCTGGCATCTCTTAGAAAGCCTTGCTACCACCATTGTTTCTTCCTGCTGGAGGTAAGTGGAGTTCTACTACTTGTCACACAGTCAGTAGTCAAGTAGTGGGTCCCCAGACGATGCCCAAGCAAGGATTCATTCTCCTATGTGAATTTTTCTCAGGTTCAAAAAATCTATTCATCTTTGCTTTGAACCAACTGACTCGCACGCTGCTAGATGCAATTTTAGAAAACCAAAATCTCAAGTAGAGCAAAAAATTTCCAACCTCAAACCACAACGCTACTTCCCTGTATTAACCATTTAGTGCGTGTTAGCCCACACCCAATAGCTGTGCTGCTTCAAATTAAGCATTATGGGCAAAGTCCTTTGCATAGATGTGATGTCTTTTATTAGACCAACCGAGTAGTTGGAAAAAAGTTCTTAGCAAGCTTTCGGTTGCAGTCACCCTTCTTCAGGCACGGGGAGTTGGTTGCTCGTTGTTTATAAATGGCTCCTTCCCCAAGTGCCCATCTGTGCCTGTTTCTTTAAAAACAAGAACCAAAAAAAAAAAGCTGCCCAAGTTAACTTGGAAATGCTTAAGCCTCAACTAATATAATATAATGAAGTCAAACAGGGGTAGGGTGGGGAGGAGTCATGGCTCATTCCTTATTCTGTGTCTCCCCTGGATAGCTGTGCTGACAGGAAATATTTTGGTCCTGACATCAAAGTCTGCTTATTTATTTATAACTCTTTTCACCAGAGTGAGTTGAATAAATAAGCACGCTAATCAATTCTGCATGGAACTGGGATGGAATTTACAATTTATAAATTAAGCTGAGTGAGTTGCTTTAGAAGCTAATTTCCACTTCTGCCCACTCCCTCGACGCACAGATACAATCTTCCCAGCGAAATTAGCCTGAACAATATGGCATCATTCTTGTCCAAGAGAACCCACTTGTCTTCATTTCTAAACTGGATGTTTTTAACCACAGCCCATATTTTCTGTTGTTTTCTCCGACTGGCAGCCAGCATGTTGATTCAATGCTGGTCCTCCAGATTTCCACATGCTACCGAACTGCCACGCTGGCCTTGGAGGGATGAAAGCTTATGACATATTTGCACTCGTTACCATTTTATTCCCAGGACAAGCTGAAAAGGGAATGCTGAGTGTTCAATGGTTCCTTGGGCGAATGCCAATGGAAATAGAAGGTGCAATGACTGACTCTATAAAGTAAGCCAAACTTTCCAGACACAAGTTTCTTCTGGGAAGCTGTCTGGTGGATGTATCCCATGCTGTTCAGAATTTTTCAAATGAACCCTGAAGTATGGGATGTGATCCCTGGGAATGAAAAGATTAGGTACTTTCACGTGTGGCTATTTTAAATAACCTTTTCCCACTGCTTTAAATGTCAGTCTGTTACCGACTTACCATCCATCCAAGTGGCACTGCTTGTTAAAGTTTGCAAGCTGCTGACTGGATGAGTACAAAAGGCCACATGTTGTGAAATCAAAGCTGCCCTGCTTTCTCTTGTGTCATACTAATTTTTAAGGAAAGAAGAGTACCTGTTGCGGCTGTCCATGTGCAATTCTGCTGGCATTTTCAAATGCTGGATATTGTGTTGAGGTTGAAGACATGGTGGCAGTGAAGTAGCTGTCTATGGTACAAACCTAAAAAAAAAAAAGTTGTATTCAATGTCTAGGCTGATACAACTGGTGCTGACTTCAACACCTTCTAAGAAACGGAAATGGTTGAAGTCACTCTTAAAAATAAGTCCCGAGTGCACATCTTGAACACACACAATCTAAATGTGTATGCCTACTCGGGCACCTGTCTGCTAGGGAACAACTTGCGTAGTCCAATGCCAGTTCTTTCCCATATAAATTACACTTGTCTGCTCATCCACTTGGACAAGCAGATGTTTAAGAGCAGCTGGGGAAAAACACTTCAGTGATCAAGAACTGTTTACATTTTGATTTTTATAGACTTTCTAGGCTGTTCACTAGACAACTCGGTCATCAGCGCAAATTGATCTGGCCCCTTTTTTACTCTAGAAAGTCTTGCAAATCATTTTGAAAAGAGGCATGCCAGGCGGAGGTATTGCCATACTAGGGTGTGAATCCTAACTAGCTCAGAGAGCCATTAGTCCCCTGTGACATACTGAGGCAAATGCTTCTAATTCTGAAGTTAATGAGTCAGATTGTACTGTAAGAACTGACTCATGGTTAACCCCAAGGGAATTTCCTTTAGACAACAGCGATCTCTTCCATGGGGAAAGAACAGGACAGTGGGTTGCTGATGATCACCCCAGCTCCTGAAAGAGGTGAAAACTTGTCCACCAGCACAAAGATCACTGGAGGCCCACACCACACCAAATTCCAGATCTCCTCTATATGAGCCGTGGCCTTGCAGCTGCACTGACATCGGGAAGAAGTTATTCTACTCTTTGGTGCCTTCAGATGCTTGGAAAAATTATACAGCTGGCCTCTGAATGCTCAAGCAGGAATTTATTAGTGAGGAGTAATGGGGCAGTCCCTGAAGTTATCTGTCTGGTGCTATCTCTGTTTCAATCTCTGCTCAAAGCTCTCTGATATTTTTCCATATGAAGCTGTAATCAGACTTCAACACCATAATACAGCTCTGTCAGTGTATATGGAATAGGCTATTGCAAACTGGATGCTTTTTCAAGACGTAAAAGTCTTTTATTTTTAAGTCAATGGCCAGTTCAGCATTAGTCACTCAGATCTGTATTGGAATATTTATGCTTCCTGGTCTTTTTTCTGTCTTATTCTTTTGCCCTTGTACATTAATGAAGTCCAAGTCCCTTGAGCTGGAGTCCTGCCTACACCAGCAGAAACAAGCTGTTCCCAGAGCCAGTTACAATGCAGTAAGGTTTCATGATTTAAACACTGGTCACATTTCTTAAGGCATGACCAAAACACATTACTGAATCTTGCTATAATCTTGTCAGGTCTAGGACTCCGCCTGAATATAACAACATAAAGCCAAGCTCCCTCAAACATGCCCAAACAAGTGCATCCTCTCTGCCATTTTATTTTGCTTCCAGTGTTTTTTAACAGAGGACCAGGGAATTCTGTGTTCAGACTTAAACACGTGGACCATCTCACTACGAATCCCCTCACTGCTACCCAGCAGTCGAGAAACCTGGATCCTGCAACTGCCAGAGCAGATGCAGCCACGAAATGGCCTCTGTTGTGTGGACCCTGGAATGGATGGATGTCCTTGTTTCATCCACTGCCGATGCTAAGAGGTGATCACTGAAAACTGAAGGTTTTAAAACTCGTCAGCAGCTTTCCAATTAGAAGCCTTAAAATGACTGCTATTTTCTTAGACTACTGCATAGATGCATTCATTTAGGCTTTCCCTTATTACTGTACAGTTGGCAAGAGTAAGTCAACAGCAGGATAACCAGATCACTGCCTAATGAGCATAACCAAATGCCCAGAAAGAGCAAAAACCAGTTAATTCCAGACGTACTTCTCCAGGAATAAACTACAGAAATGATCCCTGAAAATACCCTGACACTGACTCGCTGTGGTCTTCTTGGGTGAGTCGCACTCCCTGCTCAATTTACTCATCTTTTAAAGGGGAATACCTACTAATCTCCCTCACGTGGAAGGGATTTCTGATCCTGCTCTTATGAACCAAGTTCCTCATGTAAGGCAACCCAGAAGTAAAACTCTTACTGAAAATCAGATGCAACAAAACAGCTGAAGCAAAACATGGGTATTTAATGTGAATTAAGCAATCACCATGGAGGCTGATTCATTATCAGTGCTGGCCTCTTACTTCCACATAAGCTCATACCCTGCTGGTGGACAAATCTCAGTCATCAGTGTCTGAGGCTGCTTTTCACCACTACACTGCCCTATTTGCCATGTGTATGCTAAAGAGTCCCTATATTCGTTGACATGCTGTACCAAGACTAGCAATAAATTAACCTGCTAGCATTACTTAATCTAAAGGCATGGTCTCACCTTTCCTCCTCCTCAGGTTTAACTGGTAGTTTTGGTCTCAGCAGATGGCCTTAGTTCTGGCTAGGAAGAACCTGCGAGTCCTTGCAAACAGCAGCTTCCAGCGAGTCCCTCCAGCTGCACGCAGGCACTAGTTGCCTGTTTCTGGGTTTCTGAAGGGATGTCTAGATTTCTTCTGATTTGTCAGATCTGACTCACAGCTTCAGCGATGCTACTGTTTCCTTCAAACCTTGTGGCTGTTCCAGGCAGCAGCAGTCACTACTCATGACTGCCCTGCTCTCAACTATTTTTCTAGTCCTCAGAAGAGGGAGTAACTGGACAGAATACCTTGTGATGTTAATGTCGGATTGATTGGTATGAAAGAAGGCAGACTAAGAACAAAGGAAAGCAATGTTTTTTTTCTTTTTACAGTCCTGAAAAGGGGCAGGTCTCCAATCTCTCTCAAGGGTATGTTAAAGATGTGTGGATAGCTTGGAATTTAATCATTTCAACTTCCTTAGTTGCATAACCCTGGTTAGAGAAAGCAGTGGCTCACCTCCTGCCTGTCTGCACCCAAAATAAATTCCTGTTTAGATAAACTTGTGAAGAGGTCCTCTATTGTCTAGAATCAGATCTGTACCTTAAACCCTTTGATTAAGGGCTTGTCCATGTGAGCAATTCAGACTAATTAAAGCAGGGGCAGTAACACCATTAAACCATCATGTAGGCTCCCAGGCAGAAGGAGAGTGAGCTTACCACTGCAGCTTTTTGTCTCGAGCCTTCCCAAGTGTCCTTGCAAAGACTAGCTGTAAGCTGTTTTTAATAGGGAAGGTTCAAGATTTAATGATAAACCAGGTGTAGGAGAACTGACTTAAGAACCAACTCTTTCAGTACTTCTATGAAGCAGCTTTTAAGAGCTTGTTTGCATGGGAATGTATTGCCCACCAAGGTTAGGTATGACTTTACAGTGCACTAGCTATTCTCCACTAAGTCTTTCATTGTTAAGTGCCAGAAAGCTCACTCCACTGAAAGTATGAGGGAGCTTCACAGTTGAAGTTTGTCCTCCTGCACTGTAAATTCACTCCATAGATTATTTTAGGATAACTTTTCTGTGCAGCAAGCACTACAGGCTTGTCCAAGTCCAAGGCAATTACTTCAACTAAGTGCAGAACAGCTGGCACACTGTAAATTTACACTGAAGCTCACATTGTGTTAACTCCCTTCTACAGACAGGCCTTAAGATAGTTTAGACTAGGAATGCTAATAGAATTAAAATATTTTGCTCCAGCACAGACACCTGGTAGCTCATCTGCATTTGTACCCCTGACGGTGGCAAGCTTCAGAGACCGCCTTGTCAGTGTAGACATAACTAAGATTATGGGCTGCCCCCCAACCATCTTTTCTCCCCGTAGGAAGTCCTGTGTGTCCACTTCCACTGCACAACTGTCAGATCAGTATGCTTGTAAGGTCCTAAACTCCAGATTTATTTCCTTTTTGAATTGCCAAATGCAAAGGATCAGTGATTCAGAGCAATTTCCCTCTACAGCTATCATCTGAAACAGCACATAGGAGGAAAGAAATGGTTATTTTTGGACTCTGTTCTGATTCATGTCTCCCTTAGAAGCCTTAATACATTTCCCCCTCTGAACACTTAATATGGTCATTTCTATAATACAGGATCTCTTGTGACATACCAGTCTTGTGAGACAGCAAGTTCTTTTGCTTTACAGACCCAATAGATCAAAGCCCAGCTGCCATATTGGGGGGAGGCAGAACACTCCTCCCATGGCTAAGTGTGAAACTAAGTACCTGATTAAAGAGATTCTCTCTTTAAAACTGGAGTTGTAATGTATTTCACATTAAAGAATGTGGGTTTTGTTTGCAAAGGAAGATAATTTTTGGACTGCAAGCTCCATGACAATTTAGCTCAATGGCCTGTTAATGAAGCTTAACAAAATAAATTGTTTCTTTCCATCCCTTTTTTCCTCTTCCTCAACTTCTTAACAAACATTACTTGGAACAGGTAAACTCCTAGGAAAGGCAAAGCAGCTAGGTTTTATCTGTGTTTTGTTTAGCCAGCAGTACCTCCAGTACAGCACTCAAGATGGGGGGGCCAATCCTATTTAACTCCATCAGTGCAAGTCCCTACATGCCTCTACTTGGTCAGAAGCGATGCAGGATGAATGGGAGATATTCCCAAAAGTGCACCCATCTATTTATGTCTGAGCACATGCCAGCCAACTCCTACTTCCTCCTCCAGCACTAAGCACCTTCCATCATTATCCCAGAGCTCAGGGCTGCAAACAGAAGAGTGGGCAGTGGGGGGCATGCGGTCCACTTATCTACACGTAGATGGTGTTGCCGATATAGCTACACAGGCAACCCCCTCTTACAGGAGATGCAGATGGGTGTCAAGACTCTTACTGAGGCATCCTATGTTCTCTCCTGCCAGAGATCAACAGGACCTGTAGAAGCAAACACTATCACACTCTGGAAATGAAATGCCTGCCTGTTCTCAGCATTTTGATGCTGGCTGTAGCATTTTGTTGGTTCAGGAACATCTAAACACTACAGAGCCTGCAGGGCAATACATGTTACCCTGGTCCCCTAATTAAATGTAGACAAGACTCTTGCTGTTGCATTCAGCTTCTTCTTAGCTGACTTGCATGCAGAAGTCCTAAGATGCTTGGAGAAAA